GTAGTGAGATTATCTGGTGCCATATCAGCAGGCCTACCATGCCTGGTTATCTGGTACCAACCTGGTCATGTGGTGCCTGGTATCTGTTACTCACCATCCGTGGTTATCTGGTACCGTGCCTCGTCATCTGGTACCTGGTATCTGGTAGTGAGATTATCTGGTGCCATAGCAGCAGGCCTGTGGTGGATCGAAGATACCAATTAATCACACGGATTGTCACTGCCTCTGTTAAGTAACTGGTTGATGTGCTGGTATAGTGAGAGAATTCCTCTTCTGTTACAGCACCGGTACATCCGAGCCTCTTTTTGCCGTGGCAGATTCACACTGCGTGCCAAGCTTTGCCGACTTTTGTTGATTCTTTGCCTGGCGCCACCACCCATTGTGGTGCCCTGAGCCTCTGAAATTTTTCACAATGGTTCGATTTTGACTCTCAAGTTTGCCTGGGCAACGTACCGGCGGTTTAAGTGGTGCAGGTTGTCAAGCTGTATTGCATGGACGCGAGCAGCCTGGTGAATGCGAGAAGCAGCCTGGTGCACGTATTGGTTGTGCTGCAGAAGCATGGGCCGAGATCTGTGCTGTGCTGTCAGAGCCACATTGCCTGTCCGCCAAACAGGTTCCAAGGAAGCCCGTAAATCAATGCCTGAAACAGCAGCATTGATTACTTCCTATAACAGGAAGGATGCACTGCTGCTTCACCCCTGCTTTCCTTATCATTGCCTGGACTGCTCTCTGGGAAAGCCGATCTTCCTCTTCCCTTCTAGATCCAGCAAGCAACTGACCAATGTGGAACGGTGACTGGGAGGTCCCTCTCAGCCCACTGATGTAGGCTGCCAGTGAAAGACCATTGGAGCAAGGCTGTTCCATACCTGTTCTCTGGTCCTGCAAGACCGCCTTCAAACAAAACTAAGCTCCTATCCAGGTCTGGAAACAGGTCTGGGCGTCCCTGAAACCACCAGTACATCCGAGCCTCTTTTTGCTGAGGCGTATTCCCCATGCGTGACAAGCTTTGCTGAAATACCAGCATGGCGTTTTTCCTTGTTTTTTGGCGGGCGCCGCCAGCCATTTTGGTCCGGTAGCCCTGAGCCTTCAAAATATTCAGATTGGCTCAATTTCGATTCTCAAGGTTGCTTGGGTGATGTACTGGCTGTTTAAAAAAGGAGAGTCCTATACTGAATAGTGAAGAGAAAGTCCTTTGTCTCCTCTCCTCCTAAATTGTTTCTGGTTCGAGCTACTGCGCATTGTTAGCAGCTTAATGTCTGTTGCTCTCTGTGTCTCTCTACCTCTCTCTTTCTCTGTCTGTCTCTGTCTCTGTCTCTGTCTCTGTCTCTGTCTCTGTCTCTGTCTCTGTCTCTGTCTCTGTCTGTCTGTCTGTCTGACATCGAATTCTTCCATCTGGCCTCAAACAGCATCAGAACCTCTTTTATTATGGCCTGTGTACTTTTTAGAGAAGAGTATCTTTGGCTTCTTTTTTTTCATTTTTGCCTGCTTCCTGCTCTTTCTGTTAATTCCCTTCCACCAGTATTCGCTGAACACTCCTTGTTCACCTGCCCTCCCTTGTCTAGTGTCTGTGAGCTGTTGGTGCTTGATCTGGCGGGGCCCACTTACCCCTTTTTCTTTGAAGCTTATTCCTTGTCCAGGGTCTCCTTCTCCTGAGGTTGTGACTGAGCCTGTGTGACTCCAGTCACTGACATGTATTAAGTGTTTTTGATGCCCCCTATGGATCCGTTTAGCGGCCAGTCTTCCTCAAACCTTTTGCATAGATCATCCCTCCCGGTAGGATTTCGTTCCTTTTCCATTTGTTTGCTTGTCATACGCCATTCCACTCGAATATCTGTCTCTCTTATTGCCTTGGCCTTTACTCACGATTCCCTAGAATCCCTAGGCATGATTTCCTGGGAAGTTGGTCTTGCCCAATCGGGTGACCTGGTGTGATGCACGGGGGGTACCTGGGCATGGCAGGAGCTCGGGGCCTTTTTTCTTTCTCTGGCAGCGGGGGCTTTCCACACACTTTCACGGGATCCCAAACCTAGGCGTGGCAGGAACTGGGGTCTGCTTTTTGTTTGGGCAGCGGGGTTTTTCCGCACACATTCACAGGATCCCCAATCTGGGCTCTTTCTGTTTTTTGGTTCTCTTACTGGGGAGATGGATGGATTAACGGATGGATGGAATGGCCAGATGAATGTATGTATGGATGATGGGTGGATGGATGGATAGATGGTTGGCTGGCTGGCTGGATGGATGGATGGTTGGGTGTGTAGACGACATGATTGGATTGATGGCTTATCGAATGGATGCATGGATTCCCCCACCCCACCCTTTTTACCTCTGTCAATATGATGGCAGGCAGCACAAGGACGGGGGAATGAGGGGGAGGAGGAGGAGGAAGAGGAGGAGGAGAAGGTGGAGGAAGAGGAGGCCGAGGGGAGGAGGAGTAGGAGGTTACATGTCCAACCTTTCCCTCTCTCTCTCTTCGAGTCTTTTCCTTTTTTCCCTCGGTCGATAGGCTGTAAGGAAATGCAAGGTTAGGAGAAGGTGAAGAGAGGACGACCAAGAGTAGGCAGAGGGGGAGGAGGTCACACGAGGTGGGGAGAGATCCTGTGATGGCCGACCTTTCTCCCTCACACACACACACAAAGAAGAAGAAGAGGAGGACGAGGAGTAGGCGGGAGGGGGAGGAGGAGGTCCTATGACGTTTGCTAGCAGTAGGTGTAGGTGGAGGGGTCGGCCATCGGGTGACAAGGTGTGAGGTGGGGAGAGGTCAAGCGATGACTGATCTCTATCTCTTGCTGTCTTTCACTCACACAACCCTGAGATTGGGCTAGCATATGGTTCGCATGCCTTGTGCTGTGAGGATTATGAAGGGATAGCCCATGCGAGTTTTTGACATGGGGTACCCCATTAAAATTCCTTTGTCGACTATGTTTACTTTGGCTTTCAGTTGTGGACATGGGGTATTCAGTTGTAGACATGGGGTACCCCTGTGCCAAGAAGCATCGATTATATCGACATGAATCCAGCTCGGATAATGTAGATTCATGTCTCGTAACAAGTTGTGCTGTGATTTTTTTTGGATTCTCAGCTTCAGTCATCTGTCCTCTTGCGTCGACTATGATTGACGTCCATTGTCGTTACTACCGACTTTGAATGCACGTGTGTTTCTCACCGCTAAAAGGGAAGCAGCAAGAACAAATGAAAGGGGTACAGCAAAGAAAGCCAAAGTAAACATAGTTGACAAAGGAATTTTAATGGACTTATTGTGCTCCATGTTACTTGCTATAGCGATAAAACTGTTTCATTGTTGGAATGTCTCAACTCAAGTGTGCTGTCTTGTCTGCAATAGGACTAAAGCTGCTTCGATTTGGTTCTACTCATCTGGATGGATTAGGGGCTGTTGTGGTGAAAATTCAAAACACACATACACAGAGAAGAAGAAGAAGAAGAAGAAGATGATGATGATGCTGAACTTTACGTGATTGCACCAAATGTGGCAGCTCGAGGTGGGCTACAAAGTGGGCAGGAGGGCAAACATTTCGTCTTTGCACAGCGTTTTTTGGCACCTAGCTCTGCAGATTATGCACAAGCGTGATCTTCTGAATAGGTCTGTTAGTTTTCATCTATTTCTGCTGATTCCTCCCGAGCTATCCAGGGCCATCAAAAGGAATAAGGTGTCTCCCAGATAAAGCTCACCTGCTAGGTACATCCAACTACTCTTAGCTCTGTCCCAAAATTTTGCTCTGCGTGAAGCATGGTAACCGTGGACCCGGACACCGGACACTTCCGGACTAGTGTGTGGACCGGTCTGGACTGTCCGGTGATCCGGACATCACCGGACACCCGGACATCCCCGGACTCGGACAGTGCGGACCGGTGTCAGGGGGTCAAAATGTCCGGACCAAAAAAAAAAAAAAAAAGGTGGGGGGATTGGGGGTTGGGGGGGGGTGTTGGCAGGCACTCACCTGCTTTGCACTTCGTAGTTCAGGCAGCAGAGCACCTGTCCTGCAGCAATCAACAAGGACATTCAACTAGCAGACATGCAGAGTTGCAGACTGTGCAAAGCAGTCTCTCTCTCTCTCTCTCTCTCTCTCTCTCTCTCTCTCTCTCTCTCTCTCTCTCTCTCTCTCTCTNACAAAAAAAGGGAAACTGCCGCTCGTACAGCACACGAGCAGGTGCCGTGCCCCACCGTACGGCGCACGGTGTGGTTGGAAGTACGGTATATACCATAATAATAGATCTCTCTCTCTCTCTCTCTCTCTCTCTCTCTCTCTCTCTCTCTCTCTCTCTCTCTCTCTCTCTCTCTCCAACGGGCAGCAGCGGCGGGCGGCACTTCGAAATGGCCTCTTTGAAATTGCTCGGGCCTGTGTGAAACCCGGCACCCCAAAAGCCTGCAGTGTCTTGTGTCCATCCCTCCAGGCCCGGTCCGGTGGGAGGTGAAACGCCACTGAAAAATCACCCCGTTGTTTTTCAAGGGGTGGCCAGGACCCGAAAAACGTTCTGGGCCACCCCTTTTTTTTTTGCGATTTTCCTCTGGGGGATTCCATACTGACTTCACGGACCGGACACCGGACCCGGACATGTCGTTCTGGACTGTCTGGAACCTGGTCCAGATGTCCGGTCGGTTACCATGGCATGAAGGCAACTTATAAGTCAGTGTGAAGCCGTTTCTTTTCCCCTCAAATTACACGTCTTCATAGAGAAGAGGCAGGTGGAATGAGGAGGAAACCCTTGAAAAATGAAATGCAGATGGAGTTGAAAGTGTGCTACAATTTACAAGACAAGTTGGGGATATTCCTCTAGGATGGATAGAATGGATATTAGGGAATTGGTCAACTATCTATTAAGAGATTAGGCAAACCCCACAGCAGCGCTGACGTTAATATCCTACACCGGCAGTTGTGAGGGGCTAGCTATCTTTGAAGTCGTGGAAATCACCAACCCAGATAAAACACTAAAAGAAGTAGCAGCAAATAGCCTAACAACTGTGGAACTTGACGCCTGACAACCTTCAAATTTGATGCCTAACGATCTTGGAATTTGACGTTAAAGCAAATGAGAAAATCAGAACCTACAACCTTTTGTCCAGGTGGGCACGGGTTCGAATCCCGTGCCCTGCTACTAGTAGCATCGCGAGGCTTCTGCCCCTCTGACTAACCCCTCAGTATTCCGCTCGGGTGGACAGAATGGGGACAAGGGGTCCGGAAACTGTTAAGAGATTAGGCAAAACCTACAGCAGCACTAAAGTTAATATCCTACACCGACAAAAGTGAGGGGCGAGCTGACTTTCAAGTCTTGAAATTCACCAAGCAAATAGCCTAACAACCTTTGAAATTGGCATAAAGCACCTGAGAAAAATCAGAACTGTAAGAAAGGCAGAGGGAGATACGAACGCGGAGAGTAGGAGCCCTAGCTCCACAGACAAAAGGAGACGAAAAAGAAGGAGAGGAATTTCGCAAGCCGAGGCGGAGGAAAACCCGCTCCTATTTGACATAGATATAAACTATTATAAAGATATGATGAGAGCTACAGTTGACCCAGTAGAGTGTGGATGGTTCCGAACCTTAGAACGGCCAGTACACTAAGAGAACGCACAGAGATCATATTAGATGATAGCTCACGGGTGGGCTAAGAATATGCAAGTCGAGCCTCAGTAGTTGAACATGATTCTCTGCTACTATTGTCTGACGATTCATCGCAGAAGGTCAGGACTTAGAAGCCTTCAATAGCTAAGAGTCTGCCTAGCAGTGCCGGTCATCAATTGGCTGGAAGCAAGGAGGAAACCTTTCTTTTTATTTATTTATTTATTTTTATTGCACTCCTATTTTTTGTAAGTGTGAATTGCGTTGCGTTCAACTTCCCCCACACTCCCAAAAGAAAGTCTGTAACTTCGTGCAGATAATGAGCAAAGACATATCTTCTATATGATTCTCAAGTTTCGAATCACTGTTTGTATGTCTGGTTGGGATTGTTTATGTTCCTTCCGTCACTCAGGTTGAGTGAACCCTCTGTGATGGTTATGTGCAGTCTTGAAGCCTGCTAAGATACACTTTTCTGCAGTCAGCAGGGTAAAAAACATCGCTTGTTGTGAACTCTGCGGAACAATTCATTTTATTATCAGCCTTGTGCATGTATAGTTTTTTTTTTTGGGGTGGGGTGGGGGGGGGGCGCTGTCAGGGAAGGGTTGGTTCTTCCATGTGTGTTATCGTAAATTGGCTTGGTTTGGGCTGTTTTGTCCATGGTTTTCCTCAGATTCAATCTTATTTGTGGTTTTCCTTGTGAGGTTATGAAGACATTAGTCAGGGTTGTTTCATGGCAGAGAGTCGTTTCTGTCCGTGATATGAAGCTTAGCTGTTTCACCAAAGTTGTCATCAATGAAGGGATTTTTTTTCACTGGTGGGTGGCCTCATCAGTTCTGACCTTGGATTTATTAGTGACACAGTTTGGGTTCGAACCGGGGACCTCAGGCATATCGGGCAGATGTCTTTGCCTCTGCAACTGTGATGTGGTGTTCAGAAATGGAGCCATAGTGATCTGTTCTCTGGGAAAGATAAGGACAAATGAAGCAGCTGGATGTATTGTGGTGAATCTGTGTGCATGAACTGAGGGGATGACTGTGGGTAGTTGCTTTATAACAGGTTAAGTTTGTGTTGACAATAGTGTGGTGGCGGGTGTGCTTTGTATCAGGGCACTAACAAAGGTTGGGAAACATACGGAGGCTTTGGAGAGCTTGGAGGAGGCAGAGAAGTTGAGTGCAGCGGAACCAGGGGCTCAAGATGGTAACCATGGAATGGCGTTGGTAGCAACTTTGAGAATGGTAAGGGAAAAGAAAGAGATGATGGAGCTAAAGGTGCGCCAAACGGGGTCCACTATGGGAGTCCAAAGGCGTCTAGCAGAAATTCTTGCTGCCCTGCAACTGGCTGGAGAAGCGCGACAGGATGTGCAGAGGGAGGGAGAATTGGGATGGACAGTGGCTATTGCAAAGCTGGAAGTTGCAGACGACATACTTGGAACGACACCTATGGATGTGTGTAACATTGAACAAGCATACATTCGAACAGAGATTGCGGAGCTGCAGGCCTGGCAGGGCAACAACGATCTGGCATTGGAGAGCATTCGCGAGGGCCTGCAGTTGTTTGCAAAAGGAAAACGATTCGTGAAGGATCGTCCGTCAGACCTTGTGCGTTTCGCAAGGATACCATATGTTGCTGCAGCTGTTATGCAGAGACAGGGAAAGGACCCTGAGGGGGCACTACTGTCTGCCCAAACGGCGAAGGGAATGCTTGAGAGAGTGAGGGAAGAAAAGAGGGACCGAGAATGGCACCGCGCACTTGCCAATGTGTTGGAGCAGATGGGCCTACTGTATATGCAGCTTCGGCAGATGGATACTGCCGAACAGATCCTGGAGAGGGCTGTTGGACTTGTGCGAGATAATGAAGGATCACAAGGGACTGTACATTTAGTACAGTTGCTCCGGTCGTTGGCCAAAGTTAAGGCTGAGATTGGACGCCCTGAGGAGGGTCTTGCTTTGTCAAATGATGCAGCAAGGTTGGCGAAACACATACTTGGATCCGATAATCAATATGTAAGTTATCGAGTTCCCGTTGAACCTATGTTGAACAATTTTTGTTTTTTTCCTTATGCTCACCTGAAGTTATTCACCTTTTCTTATGGCGGTTGTCACCTGGCGTCTTTGTCTTGTTAAAGCAACTTTCTAAAGCTTCTAAAGTTTGTTGTAAAGTTCGGAGGCCTACCACTTTGTGCACTTGCTCAGGAGCATTTAGACTCTGTGAAGGCGGAGAGGGGGAGGGGAGGGCGGAAGGGGAACTGAGCAAGGGGAAGGTGCTGGAGGAAGAGAGGGAGGTGGATTATGATAATGATCATAGAATAGAAAAGGATCATTAAGCTAGGATTGGATAAACCTGGCATAGATAAGGTCGCTTTTGATCAGATTTGGCAGGATAGATGAGTCTGTAAGATATATGACTAGTTGATTACCCATTGGGAACAGGTGACTGAACAACAACTTACAATATTGAAGCCTATAAGTGATACTGGTGAGATTCAACTTGTGCATCCTTATGTACCCATTGGGAGTCAGAGGGCCTGCTTAAGCTGGCTACTGTCTTCACCCGTGTAGAACGCATGGTCATTCTAGCTGTATTTTGGGTCAACTTCCAGTCTAGATACAGTGATACTGTGATAGTGACCTGGTGCTCTGGTGAAGTGAAGACGGTGATAATAGCAAAGCGTTGCCAATCCTATCAGTGATTGGGAAGGGGTCTATGCAGTATCCGCTCTGCTCTCTTTTCTCCAATTTATTCGATTTGAACTCGTCGATAATATGATTTTTTTTTTTTTTTTTTTTTTTTTTTTTTTTTTGTGCCTTTGCGAGGAAAATGAGCAATAGCGAGATGATAGAATCCAGATCGCACAATCACATTGAAAGCCAGAAAGTTCCACAGTGTCCAGAAAGTAGCATTGCACCAATAATACACCAATGGAGAATCGTAACACTGAAACCGAATGTCAATGAGAGCTTACTCTCGTCTTCACCAACATAAGAGTCCAGGCCCTTCCCCCTACTTGGCGCTCAGGGCCCAGACTACTTCCACACAGCTACTGTGTGCCTAAGAATTGACAACGCAACTGTTGACGTCAGCAGCCACCGAAGTACATGAAGATGTCGCCCAATGCAGACCATCGCCAATACCAGGTATGAGCCCACATCATCATCCTCATCTCTCTCTCTCTCTCCCTCGTCTGTCTCCCTTGTCTTCCCTCTGTACACCCGAAGACCACCACTGCGTCTTGCTGTATGTTCAAGCCTAGGCAGCTATGGAAGCTGGGCTATGGTGCTGCCCTCATCAGTGCCCTTCTTCACACACGACCGCACGTGCACAGCACCTTGCCCCGGTGCTAGCAGCAACACGCGAGCATTCGCTCCACCAGCGCTGCCGCAAACTAGCAAGTGCCGGAATGAGGTGCCAGACAGCGAACTCTTTCCTATATGGAAAGAGTCTAGCCTGGCCTGTGGCCTGGCTGGGCTGGGCCTGCGCCCAGAAGCTTCCGGTAGGCCCCAGGTAGCTGGGCCTCTGCTGCTGCTGCTGGGCCTCGTTCAGTTACGCCTCCCAATTGTCTGTGTACGTTGCTGCGAATGTGGCCCAGGGCCTGCATTTCAGAAAAGGCCCAGAAGGCTGTGGAAAGTATTTGCTGCTTGGGTCGTGGGTTCCCTCAACCAACTGACGCGACACAACTGCCTGAACCCCAAATATGAAATTGACAGCATTTTCCGTCTCGTGATTTGTTAGGCACACCTTCACTTAGGGCGGGCACACTTGCATAAGGGGACCCTTAGGTCTGCCGAGGAGCCACATCCTCGCATTCCCTCCTCCTTTCCTTCAATGGTCCCCCGAGAAGTCTCTAATTTGCAGGCATATTTCCCTTGAGTGCTCTTTCGTAGCCTGCAATCACTTGGGGAGCTGTTTGCTGGAGTTCTTCTCTGGTAAACCACCGATCTTCACTGGGATCAGTATGGTGTCTGACAATCTGACACGGTACTGCATCCTTGGCTTTGGAGGTCGGCCTCTACCGGGAGGTTTAGGCACTGGCATCACCAGATGCTCCACAATTTCGTCGATGTCGACTTCGCCATCCATGGTTGGGGGTAGCATTGATCATCTTGAGGGAAACTGTGCAGTTTCTGCAAAAGTTGCCAGCTTTGAAGCATGAAAGACTGGGTGTGTGCGTAGAAGAGCAGGGATTCAAATCACATATGAAGTTCTATCTATCTGATCTCCAACTATCTCTAGGACCTCCCAGGGACCAAAATACTGAAGCATTAATTTCGGCGAAATTCCCAACTCCTGACCCAGTTCAGATGATTTAACCCAGACTCTCCTAAAAATAAACTACGCAAAGACTCTCTATCCGGGGCACACAGTCTTTTATTCCCAACCCTCTCAAGGAACAGCAAGCCTTCAACCAGCACAAATGCGTCAGAGGTAGCTTTATCTTTTGTTTCCAATTTGCGAATGATCTCATACTCAGTCACTAGCGCGCCCAGGTAGGCTTCCACCAAAGATCGAGTTACATCTTTAGATATCTCGAACTCAGTCACTAGCGCGCCCAGGTAGTCTGCCCTACGTGATTGTGCATCAACCACTTTATTATACTCTCCTTTGAGAGGATCAAGTTGAAAATTGTACATATCTATATCTTGAATCCATCTCTTGAGTGCATCTGAGAGTACCGACTATGTTTTATTCGAGCGCAAATTCTCATGGTCAGATCTCACATAGAAGAATCTGCAGAGGAGATAGTGTCTCCAATGGACCAGCGCTCTATAAAGGGCATAGAGCTCACACTCATAGGTGGACTTTGCTAACTTCTGAGAAGGCATCTTCTTGCTCATGTACTCGATGGGCCTCAACTTTTTTCCCTCGCGGCTATGCCGTATTGGTTGGCGTCAGTGGTCACAATAAAGGGCTGCTCAGGATCCGGAAGTTTGAGGACTTCGTCAGAGCATAATTCAATTTCTTGAAGGCTGCTTCACACTCTTTGGTCCACTCCCAAGGGGTGTTAAGGCGTGTGAGGTCAGTCAACGGCGAGGCTGAAGTGCTGTAATTCTTTACAAACGGTCTGTAGTAGCCTGTCATCCCCAAGAATGACCTCGCCTCAATCACAGACTGAGGTCTGGGCCAGTCACGTATGATGGCTACTTTGGTATCATTCGTCCTCAAACCGTTCGCAGAAATTTCATGACCCAGGTATAAACTCCCATTTCTCCAAGGTAACCCTGTATTGGTGCTGTTTTAGGAGACCTAACATTGTTTTCACGTGCTCAACGTGCTCCTCTACAGTCTTACTAAAGATAAGAATATCTAAGTAATCATGAAAGTTCCAGTTCATTGCGTGTTGGAATGTCCCAGGAGCATTGCATAGACCAAAGGGCATCACCACAAACTCGTACGGACCGTACCTGGTTAGGAATGCGGTTTTGTGTTGGTCCTCAGGTCTAATGGCAATCAGATGGTATCCGAACTTCAAACCTATCTTTGTGAAGTACCGACATCCCTGCACTCTATCCAAGAGGTCGTCGATGCGGGGTAGGGGCTCCACGTTCTTTACGGTGATGGCATTGAGGCCCTATAGTTAATGCACATCCTTAAGGTACCTCCCTTCTTAGGAACGAATTGCACTGGTGCACCATAAGGCGAGGTACTAGGCCGAATCCATCCCTTCTTTGTGAGCTCTTTGAGCTGGCGGCAGAGCTCATCCAACTGTGCAAGAGACATTCTATAGATTCGTTCTCTAGGTACCTTGCTACCGGGGACGACTTCTATCGCATGGACAACCTCCCTTTCTAGCACGCCACTGGGCTCCTAAAAAAGGTTTGGCTATTGAGCAACGACTGCTTCTATCTCCGGGGTTGATTTTATGGCCTCCCCTTTCTCAGAGACAAAGACTAGGTACATGCCCTCCTCACAATTCTGCTTACAGTAGTTATAGAAAGAAGATGCACACATGCAGCCATAGTTCTCCACTAGATTGATAACTTTAAACTTTTGCAGCCTTAACAATTCTTCCATTAAGCAACTTTTAAATCATCACCTTCCTACCCCAATCGAATTGAGGTTAAGCAACCTCAAGGTAGTACTGCCTAGCAGCATATCGAATGACAGTTCATCACTAACAAGGAATAAAATCTTGTGTCTCAGTTCCCCTCCTCCATAGGAGAAGGTGCAGACTACGTCCTTGACATAATCTTGGACAACCATATTGTGCTTGTTGGCTAGCGTAAATGCTATAGATTTGCTAAACCGCTGCACTTGGTCCCCTAAGCGCAATCTGTCTACACAAGCACGTGATGAAGTTTCGTGTAGAGTCTATGTCTGCGAAGGCACCCACTTTACGGCCACCGCAAAATGTTCACCCCTAGGACCTTTGCTAATCATCGCCCAAGAGTCCCTGGGGTCCTTCCTTGACCACTTAGTTTGTAACTCTTAAGGACTTAGACACATCTCTCGAACAAAGCATCGATGGGCTATATGTGTCTGCGAGGCGATAACTGGGCCAGTAGCCTTGGCCAACGCCTGGAGTGGTGAAGGCAACGTTACCACTTCAGCACGGGTAAGAGCGGCTAAAACTCTTTACTGCCCCGTGGTGTTTCCCTCCGAAGTGCTCACAGAAGCACCACCAGAGTTCGAAGATAGGCCTACCAAAGTAGGAGAAGCTACCTTCGTTGTGACTTTCTTGCCTCGACAAGTCTTGGACGTATGGCCATAATTGTCACTGTTCAGACAAGTGCCCTTAGTAACTCGGTCCCTCCGCACGTAGTAGTCTAAATCGAGTTTCACCCATGAGGGTGTCCCTTGGTCGCCTTGACCCTTGGACCGGCCTACCTTCTGCTTCCCGGTCCCCTAGCCTTTCCCTTAATGGGCGCAACGACTCCCCCATCTGAAGTCTCACTAGCGCCATCATCCTCTATATCTTCCGCATAGTCAGGGAAGTTGTCTATCTCAGTCCCCTAACCATCATGGTCCACAAACATGAGATTGCCTTTCTTCCTCCATTCCTGGGGAA